CTGTTATTATAGTAAGTAGATGGAGAAAAAAATATTGAGTCAGGTCTACAATAATAATAATTAAAGTAACAACAACAACAACAACATAATAATAATAATAATAATAATAATAAAATTAATAATAATAATAACACTTTTTGGCAGTATTTTTTAAAAAAGTGAGCACTTTTCCATTTTCACTGGCCCCATTCCCTTCAGTTTTAAGTGCTTCACAATATTTATTTTAATAGGATGTTATTTATTTATTTATTTGATAATGAACACTATGCCACAAATGCTGTCGATTGAGCTTAACCTGTAATAATTCTTTAATTTTATAAAATTACAAAATTAATGGGTAACACAATTATTTTAAGGTGATGTAGTTACACATTACATACTGACTTACATATTGACTTTAATAGCAGTAAATTATGTATAATTACAAGCAATTAACCCTAAACCAAACCCTAAGCATAACCAGTTAGTACATGTAGTTAATTAATATTATCAGTACTTATTTGTGTAATAACACTGTAACAAAGTCACCAAATAAAGTGTAATCAGTTAATCTAAATAAATAATGTGAGTAGCTGACATCTTGTTATTGAATGAGTTGGATGAGAAGCATTGAAGTTCACACTGAAATCTCATACTCGTGATTGCAGATTTCTTGGAAAATCTGTCCCGAAACTCCGAGGAAGAGAATGTGTTCTTTTTCTCAGGAGAAAAACCTAAAGCAGAAGTCTCCATTTGGTCTCAGTGTAATCTCAATGGAAAACATTTCTCAGATCTAATTTGGTATTTCACATCGCTACAGGTTTGTGTGTATTCCTAGTCGCTCTGTTGGTGTCTTCGTACTTCAAGATGAAACATTGTGTGTGTAGGGACTCATATAACAAGACATTTCAGATCTGAGGATTGCTCAATACATCTTTGTCCATATTTCTCATGCACAAGTGCCTGTTTGACCTAATCGTGGCAGAATGAAGAAAAGACATGGACAGAGAGAGGACTTCAAACAAGAGAATGCGAGGTCAGATGCAGAGCCCTTTCACTTCAAAGTCCCTCATCTGGCTTTCATTTGTTGAATTCCATGTCTTTTACATGTACTGGCTGCAATTTTCACAAGCTCCCGTATCTGGAGAAGTCATGTGATTCCAGGCCTGGCCAAAGAGTTCAGATGGTCCAGTCACTGACTTTTTTCATTTTTTACACCTTCTTTGAGGTCATCTTTGAAGGATACCTCTCAACACACACACAAATATCAATCGATCAATCTTTATCCTTCAACCACCTCTTCTGATAAGCGAAGAGTGACTGAGACTTCAAAAAAGAGAACGTTCAGAGGAAAGCGGGGTGTGAAAAGAACCATTGATACAGTGTCCAACGAGTATGTGTCCAACACCTGCACCGCCTATTCACCCAAATGTTTACACACTGTCATCCACAATTAATGGCTCTCAGGGATAGGGCTGCCTGCCCTCTGCTGGGGCCCCAGACCCTTCCTGGGCCCTTATGAGTGCCTAATTGAGCATACCACCCTCCTGATTGAATTAACAGCTTGGTCCCAGGGACCTTTGTCAGCAAAGCGTGGCCCTTGCTGTTGGCAAAACCAAGCTAGAAATGTGAACTGGGGGCATTCAGAGGTCCTGGTCTTCGCAAGGACAGGCCTGCCAGGTGGACGCTGGGTCCTAAGTCTGGATGTAGTTAATTCTATGGCCTGCATGGTATTATTTTTCTAGACAGGTGAACAATGTGTCAAATGGTGGGAAAAATAAGTAAGCAAGCAAATAAATAAGTTTAATATTTTTTACATTTTGTAAAAAAAGATGATTTTTTTTTTAGGGCTAATGAGATTTTTTGCAATCAACATTATATTCATGGCAATTATTTTGTGTTGAACTTTATACACACTTTCAATGCATAAAGGAAAATGGTTGCGTTATGACAAATTCATTTTTAAAATTACAAATAGTCCATGTATTTTTGCAATTGATACGAGCTGCAAAGCATAAAAGCAGCATAATAATAAAAAAGTTATATATAATTCCAAAATAATTAAATACTTTTTTTATATTAAATTCTATATTTCATACATCATGTCACACCAAGTAGCACGTCAACTTTTCAAAAGTATTTCATGTCATGTACTAATAAAGTAAAGGCAGTACAACTAATACTTTGCCTGATTTACATGAATTTAATCAAAGGTGACAGTAAAGATTTCAAATAAATGCTGTTCTTTAGAACTTACTATTCATAAAAAGAGTACTGACTCTTATAACATTTATAATAATACAAAATGTTTAAATTGAAATAACATATATCAATTTCTACATTTTTTATCAAATAAATGCAGCTTTGGTGAGAACAAGAGACTTCTTAAAAAAATTACAAACGTAAAAACTTCGCAAATGAAATAATCTATAATTATTTTTGCATTGTGTAGTAATTCAGAATGGGTCTGAAAAAAACAATTGTTTAATTATTTCTTTGTTTTGATGTTGGGTTCTTTCTTGTCATTCACCCCAAGAGAGTGATGAAAGAAATTGTCAGTGCACCTGCAAGCTATTTTATTTCCTTACATTATTGTTCAAACACACATTCATTAGAACAATTCAAGTGAGGAGGAGGAAACTTGGGTTCATTTGCTGTCAATAACACATACCTTATTAATAGCTGAAGGGAGCTTGGTCCTTCAAAACAAATCGAATTCCAATAAGCTTCTACAAACAATTATCCAACTGCAGAAGATTTCACTGTGTGGACATGCTGGGGTCCGTTGGTTACTTTTTATCCAGAATAAAGTCCTATGAGGAGAGATAGCATGTTCTAATGTAATAATCAAATTCATATGTTTACCAAATACAGTGTATCATTTCAAATAATACTGAGCAAAGCCAGATTATCCATCCACAATGCACCATTTCTGAAATCCAATAATCAAAATTTGAGTCTAATGCATGTGCAACTGCAATTAGCCTTTGATTACTGGATTATGTGAATAATCAAAGTTTAAACTTGAGGATTCTACAAAACCGTGGCATTACACTCCAGTATGTCAGGTTTCTATTTGTTAGCAGTAATTTAGACATGGCATCATGGTTCATGAAGGAGATATCATTCCATCAGTTAATAGTGCTCATAAGTGAAATGTAATTCAGATGAAAAAATAAATAAAAAATCACAGCAAAAACCTGTTAGGTCTTGATTAAGGCATAGAAGCTTTTCCATATGTCTCCATCAGCTATGCAACCATGCAACTCACCTCTCTCTGACCCCAGCACAGTTTTGGGAGCATACTATTGTGAAGAGTGAACTATATCTCCCATAAACCCCCCACCACAGATCTCATGCCCCCAAATGACAAGGCAGCCTGCACGTTACTTGATGTCACCCCATGCTCACAGCTTTTCTGATGGGGGTCAATTAAACTCGCACTGTTCTTACACTGGGTCAGAAGTTTAGTGGGTTACAGACTCCCCCTCCAGTTATCTAATCCTATTCTATAAAAAGTCTCTCCGGATGCCCACGGAATCCAAACGCATCCTGAGTTTGTTGTTGAATTTTATTTAGCACAACTGATAATGGCAAGGTTTGCTATTGTTGGATGAATCTCATGAAATTTAGCAAGATTTTTTTTCACTTGTGACATTACTTTCTGGACAGTTAAGAAATAGTTCACCTGAAAATAAAAAAATTCTGTATTAATTACTTCATGCCATTCCAGACCTGTATGACTTTATTTCTTCCATATAACAAAAAGTGGATTCTTGAAAAAAGTATTGGCCGTATTTTCTGTAGAATGAAAGTGAATTAGGCTTAGTGCTATCAAGCTACAAAATGCACCATACAAGTATCAAAAGTGCTATAAATGACAGTAAATTAGGCTAATATATATATATTTTTTTGTAGATTAGATTAATTATAGACATGACAGTTTTTATACATTAGACAGTATTTGTTTCTAATGTTACTAGTTAGTTAACATGAATTGTGCATCATCACCAGGCCATTAGTTTCTGTCTTTTACATAACAGCAACACAATTATGCATATAATGAATGTTCATAAATTCCTGTGGCATAAAAGTCAATGAATGGAAAGTTGTTTTTACTGCTCGTCTTACAAGTACTTGGACATTTGTTTTGATAAAGCTGGACAAAGCAACCATAAATCATCTTAACTTCCTCCATCAAGGTTTGATTTCTATAGAGCTTCCCTCTATTCTAAGACCAGGTGTTAGTGTGTTATCTACAGAGTTATACAATTAAGATGCACTTATAAATGTATGAATGCTATTGCATTAGATAAACTACCTAACCAAGTGGCATTTAATTTTAGGCAAACCGTTTTTAAGCAAAACATTTCACAATATTTTAAAACCATTTTAAACAATAAAACAATTGATATGCCATTCAAACTTGAGTCAAAAGACAATCTGACCCTTTTGGATAAAATTGGGTTCAGTGAACATGTGAATAGATAATGTCCCGACTTACACCTGGTTGCTGGTGAACTGCAGGGGAACTAATACATGTATTCATATATCCCATAAAAATTAAGTTGGGACCAACTGTAATTGCAAAAAAAACAAAACAAACGTGAACTTAGTTCTGAGGAAATGTGGTAATCGATGTTTGCAGATATAATTTGATTTGATATTTAGTTATCTAAAGCAAAATGCACACGTTTTTAAGAGTAGCTTGAGTGTCCATGTAGGGTTCATTTAAAACCTTCGAAGATATCTTTGTGCATATTGCGCCCCCTAGTGTATAGATATACTTATTACATCATTGAACAGATGCCGCTGTCAGAATCATTTTCTCCAAAATAACCGCTGCTGAATTTCAAAGGTTTCATTTGCAAAATTAACACCGAAAAATTCAGTTTTAAATAATAAATTAATATTATAAGTAGGTTATTATTATTGCTATTACTCTTTCTTGTGCAGAAACAATTGGCTACCAATATTGTTTTCTAGGCTGTGTAAACAACACCGTACAGAAATACATAACACATGCCATCCTTGAGCATATTCATCATGACAGCAACGCAGAATCGTTCATTCTCCGTTCATATGGTCATAACAGGGGGACAAAGGGCTGAATGTGTACGATATTTTTAGAGCGCAGTCACACGGAGGCGGAGCACGGATGCTTCACGGCCAAGGATGCGAGTGTCAAACAGCAGGTGGAGACTGACTGCTGAAGGAAAGAACCAGACGAGAACCGCCCACAGAATCTCAAACACATTTGATGAGGAAGAGGGGAAACATCAGTGACCTGATCCGCCCTGAATGAGTGGGCCCTGATAGCGGTAAGACTTTTTTTTTTTTTTTAATCGTCGTGATTTTTTTCGATATCGTCGTGCCCTATGTTCTTGTGGGCAAGTGATTTGTAGCGCATTCATGTCATCAGATATTATTGCAATGGGTGTGATAGGGACCGCATACTGTATGTAAAATAAAAACATCTGCACTGGAAACCATCTGCGTAGTGAGAGGCTGTTTTGAGCATATGTGTCTTTAGATGGCTCTTTGAAATCAGCGTTTCTTTACTGTATAAGTAACATATGTCTTGTTGGGGCCTATAAAACTATGTTGTTTATCGAAGCTTGCGATACACAGCCTACACAAGAGTGGAGTGAACGAAAACAAACATTACATCATTTTGACATTAAAATTTGACATTTCTGTTTTTTAGGCAGTAACTGCATTATTGAGGTTTAGAGGCATTAGATAGAGTGTCAGAGACGAATAGATAGATAGATAGATAGATAGATGTAGAGTGCAGAGATGAGACATATTAAAATGGTTTTACATTCATGCATGGTTGCATCTGAATCACAGACTCCAAAAAAACTGCATGAGTTCTTTAATATTGCCCAGCATGCATGTGTAACCTTATGTAACTACCCTGAGGCGGGAACCGTCATCACATACAGAAGCAGAGCGTAAAAAAATATGCATGCATGTGCAACCTTAGATAGCACTCTTAAGCCTTGATCTCCAGACAGAACATAATAATCCCTGTGATTCCACAAATCTGCTTGTGGGTTATCCAGCACTGTTATTGAAACACCGCAGTATTCATATTTGTGTGTTCTGTTTTTTTTGTACAGTGAACCATGGTGGACCCATTGGAACCTGATGACCAGAGTAAATTCAGAGGGGCCCAGTTTGAAAGCCCCGCTGCAGCCTCTGAAACACCTTGTCTACCCGAGCCAGGTGATGATAGAGAGAAAGATGTTAGTGTGGATTCCAGCCCACAGACAGAACCCAGTACTGAACCTGTACTGAGCTCTCAAGAACCATGCCAGCAGCAAAACAGTCAACAAGAAGAGTTAAAACTACATCTGGACCTTTACAATTTTCACACACCAGCTGCAGAAGGCAGTCGGTATGTACTGACAAGCCCTCGCTCTCTCGAGGCATGCGCACGATGTGGAGTGAAACCTGTGGAGCTTCTGCCTCGTCCACTGTCTGATTTTGCCCGTGAGGCACCAGGCCGGAGTATGCGTGTCGCCACAGGAATGTTTGAGATATATGAGCGGGATAGACATGCTAAACTCCGACACTGCAGAGAAGAGAGAGAGCGGATTATCAGAGAGGAGAAGAGGCGAATTTTGCAGGCAGCTCTGAACAATAATGCTGGTCCACTGGCTTCAGAGAAGTCAGAGGAAACTGTAAATGCTGGATTGTCTCAACAAACCAATCAGAGTTTAACAAATCCAGCCCCCAAAATAACACCTACTTTCGGTGCACCCAAAAAACAATCTACATCAACAGCACCTAAAAGCACGACAGCAGGGTCAGGACAAGTTTCTACAGTGTCCACATCCAGCTCTCCTCCCATCTCAAAAGCCAGTCCAGTGAACTCTGCTCCTACTGCTAAAGGAACTTCTGCAAAAAAAAAGTCCCTTGAAGTAGAATCTGCGGGAAAAATTCAAGGTCCAGAACCTTCAATAATCCAACGATCGATTCAGTCAGCTCCAGGAAGTCAGGGCTCAAAAAAACCTTCCAGTGCTCATACAAAGGCTCCAAACACTTTCCCCAGATCAATACCAAAACCTTCTTCGTTTCCAAGGACACCAACCTCACTTGCCCCGATAGTGTCAAAATCTGCCATCCAAAGCCCTGCCAACGGCATTACAAGTACGTTTGCACAGCATAATGGGCATATCATCTCCAAATCAAAGGCTAGATGCAGAAGCCACTCACTGGAGTCTTTGCAACGGAGGCGTGACACGTTTTGTTCCTCTACTGCTTCAACAACGAACACCACAACTACCACATGTACCTCCTCTGAATCTGCTTCCTCATCCTATAGCTGGGATGGGGCAAGAGATCACTGGGCTAAGACATCAAGCTCTCGTGCCCGCACTTTAGCTACCTTTAACTCCCTGATGGGTCGTAGTTTGAGCTTGGGAGACCTTAGCCATTCTCCACAGACTATGCAACAAGTGGAGCGCATTGTGAAAGAGGTGAAACGACGAGGACTTAAAGCTGTTCCAGAGCGTGACCGAAAGATTGCTGCACTAATGCTAGCCAGGTACCAAGAGGAGGACATAATGAGCCAGACACGCTACGTAGCACACCTGCAATGGGACAGTGAGCGGCGAATAGAGGAGCTGCGACGGGAACGTGAAGAGCGAGAGAAACAGAGGGCCGTGCAGCAGTGCCAGCGTGCATGGCAGTCACAGGTTTCTACCCGGCAGCGCTGGCTTAACCAGCAGGAGCGTGAGGCTGCAGAAGCAAAACTTCGCCAAGCATTGGAAAATGAGGAGCGTTGGAAAGAATTGGCCGAGCAACAAGAACGTAGCCGGTCGCAGAAATTGCAACAGGCCGCTCGTGAGGAAAAACACAAGAAGGCGTTACAAGAGCAGAACCTTAAATCTCTGGAGGAGGAGCGAGCTGCTATTCTTGAGCAAGAGAAACTGTTCCTCAAGGAGAAACTGACCATCGCTGAGCTGAAGCGACAGGAGCGAGAGCACCAAATTCAAGAGGAGCGTCGTGGACTCAACCGTGCCGAGAAGAGGCGCCATGCAGCTCTTATCCAAGAGATTGCACGTCGTGAAGTGGACGAGCGTGAAGAAGCATGGAGAATAGCTGAAGAGAAGCTAAGTAGGTCTTTGGAGAACTATGAGCAGATACAAGAAAAACGTGGGCAAGAGTTAAAGGAGAAAGCTAAGCGAGAAGAGAAGCAGATCCAGAAAGCAAGACGGACCGCCGAGCTACGTGAGCAACAGCAGAAGGAACAGATGGAGGCAAAGGCTAGGGAAGCCGAAAGACGAGCACAACAAGCCTCACAAGTAGCTGAAGAGCGGGCACGGGAGAAGGCCCAACGTGTGGTGCAAAGCAGGAAGGAAAAAGAACGCCTCCAAAGTCTTAACCGTCAACGCGTAGAAGAGGAGGAGAAACAGCGCCGCCTAGAATTGTTGCAGTCCATTGAGCGCAAACTGGAAAAAAGTGAACAGATTTTCAGAGAAAAACGTGCTGTGTTGGAAAGTGCTCGATCCGTGGCACGTGCATCTTTCCACGTGCGGGATCGTGTTCGTGAAGAGACAAACATGCGCACCTTTGACAAGATGGCCTTGGAGGCTCAGTTAAATGCAAATTTAGTTGAGAAATGAGCGCTTCAAGTGTGCAACCTAATTGCTCTTTCCATGCACATCTGTCTAGAAATAAGCTGTGCTTGAGCCTACATGCTAGCCTCATCACCAAACTACAGCAACAATATTGATGGTCATGCCCTCAAGTGTTGTATCTAAAGATTAATTTATTCCTGATGCTGGATCATTTTCATCATGTCATCTAAAGAAATATTTTTCTGTATTTATATCTTTTAAATGTTAATCTAAGAACTTTGTGCTTATGTGTGGATGCTCATATTTCGGGGCATGATTGTTTTTTGTAACTTGGCAGACGTGTTGCTTTGAGAACTGTATATAAAGAGTTCATTGTTTACAAGGACGTTTGGCACTATGACAACAGTAATGGCTTCTTTCTAAGGATGGCTTTATTTCTAAAAAGAAGAAAAAGAAAAGGGGACGGGCTGCTTCTCCCAGAGTAAATCTTTTGAGGGAGACTCTTGTTTTAGGAATCTAGGCCGTAGGAGAGTGAGCCATGTCTTGACTGTGTGTAAACTAAACTCTAGCTAAATGCTGACCCAGCATTACATCCTAGAGTCAGGACATGACAAAGAATGATCTCAGCACAGTGTAACTGCTGATGAAGCACAGGAGTCTTTGGTCAGCAACAGACCCATCAGGGCTCAAATCCATACTGACATCCCCTGCAATCCTTCAGGTGTGCTAATTTCTCCCCTCCCCCCAAACTTCATTTTTGGTATTCTACTTCTAATAGGCATGTTCAGAATGGAATACTAGCTTATTATTTACTGTGCAGTATACACTGTATACTGTCTACTATTTTTAAAAATAGTAAGTAGGCATCATGTACAGTGTAATATACAATCATCCAGCCATTAATGCAAACACTATTCAGAAATATTTGACCACTGAATACAACTGAGGGCTACATTATTGTAACATGACATTACCTCAACACATGGCATGTGAGTACAATTAAGTATGCTAAATGTGATTAATTAGCATTTTTTAAAATTCAGTCTTGGGTTAAAATGTCAACTTTTGGCAGTCCAATAAAACAACGACTCAAATGGAGAAAGTGGAGTTCATTGCAGTGTGGGATACAGTGTGCCAAGTATCCTTTTTTTGTATACTGCACATTTTGTTAGCAGGATATGCATACTATGCACAGGACACATATTAGCTATACTACAGAAATAGTCGGTGCAGTACTACAGCTTGCCATTTTGAACATTGCCTGGATATTAATGTTTAATGCATGTCCTTATCATCACATTAAAATAATGCTTGTGTGATGATAATGAAAGAACACTGAAGCCAGTATGGATGTTCATATTACATAACACTTTAGTATTTACGTTTTAATGTGAGTAGGCATAGGAATATAACATATACGACACAGGACACTATTCATAAAACACCCATTATACTAAAAATGCTATGTCATGCTGGTACATATCTAGAGGAGAGGATTGGAGGAGAGCTCACATCGATATCTGTGAGAAAAGCACTGCAGTAGGCATTTCAACTCCTATGAGAGCTTAACCCACACTGATGCTTGTCACAGTAGCCATCTGTCACAGGCTTTTTTTGTACTGTACAGCAGTCAAACAACCTGGACAAAAACTGTTTTTAGGGCTAGCACATTTTTCAATGCCTCTACGTACAGGCTCTTTAGATAATTATTGCATGATAACTGCACAACACGTTTATATATTATGTCAAAATCATGCCAAAATTTGTTATGCAAGCAAGTCTGATACTGCAGCTTAATCATGTATGTAACAGAGTGAAATGCAAAGTTTCTCTGCAATAATTGACTGTTATCTGGTTTGTCTCTTCTGACGCAGGTTTGGGAGTGGAGAAGATGACGATGTTGACATCTGTGGCCTGATTTAGTAAAAATAGCCCCCAAGAGACTGCAAATTTCACTTTGATCACCGATCCTTATTCCCTTTCTGGCAGTGACTCAGCTAGGCATGACATAATTGGAAGGTTTAATAAACACTGATTTTAATTCCAGCATATCCACATGGCACCTCAGCACCACTTTTAATATCATAAAAGCCCAAAGAAACAATTTAATTTTTATACATTATTGTATCATGAGTTAAATTTAGGGGCTTTTTAAATGGAAGCAGAATCGTGTTGAATAATAATCAAGCTAATAATCATGAAGATGGACAAAAAAGGATTCTGAATGTAATTCATAACACAGCTTCTTAGGGCTAGTGAAAAAGCAAGTGTTAATTGCGTATTAATAAATAACAGATTGTTTCATTAAAATGGCCATTTCTGCATATAAATTTCGCTGCAGTGAACTTTGACAGCAGTGACATGAACATGAGTGTAGCATTTTATGTGTAAAAGTATGTCTCATGAAATTATTTTCGTCTCAGCACCATTTTTTTTTTTTTGTTAATTCTAATGAAAATATGTTTTCTGTAGGCTGCAGACGCTTTATTACTAGTTTATTAAAAAGTGACATGCAGGGACATACTTTACTTGGGAACCAACAATTCAGTTTTGAAAATGGCATACTGTATTTAAATAAATAAATAAATACAAAAAAATAAAATCTGAATTATTTAGTTGTTTTATGCTTCTGGACATAACAATGTTATATGCATTTACATTATATGTTTTTTTTTCTTCTTTTTTTTTTTTTACTTTACATATTTTGTCGAAATTCAGTTCTAACTGAAATCCTGTGATCTCTGTCCTGTGATAGAGAGGTTTGGCTCAACTGTGTCATAGAGTGCAACAGTCGAGTTCCGAAGTAAAAATGTCATTAATTTCTCCATTCGAAAACTGATTTTTAAAGGTGCTGTATGTTTTTGACTCTACTAAAGCATAAACGTACCATAATATGTTTGCAGATATTTAAGAAACATGCTAAGTTAACATACTTGTTTATCTGAAAAACAATGCTACAGTCAATTATTCTCCTTTGAATATGTGCGTTCCAGGCCGGAATGTCGGTCTCTGTTTTGGTTTGTGAAACCCGCCCACTGCCAGTTTACCCAATTGTGTTTCGTCCCCCCGGGTTGCCAGTTTGCGGAAAACAGAGCGTATCTCATTTCATTCATCGTCAAGTGCGCGTGTTCCTGTTGGTGTCTCAATCTGGCAACCTGCGTGTGCGTCAAGTCGAGGAGGGGCCAGGTGAAAAAAAACCCTCTCCAATATTTTGAATTTGGACTGCAATAACTAGTTCAACCACTCGGAGTCAATCCTACATACTGCACCTTTAAGGATAATTTATAAACTCATGGGATTGTAGTTCTTTCCCTCATTAAAGCTGTTGTTGAGGCCTATAGCCTTCTAGTCTTTTTGTCTGATTTTCAAATACTTTTTTGCTTCAAATCAAAGTTTGCAATGTTGTGATTCACCTCATGGCCGGTTGGTTTGGTTCATGGCTTATAACTGTTTAACAAAGACTTAAAAAAAAAAAAATCCTTATGGGAGAAATGAGGGAAAAAAAAAACATTTCTGAACCAAGGTAAAATAAAATAAAATAAAAAAGCGAGCTGGCACTGTTTTTTCTATTGAGTGTAAAAATATTAAATCCTTTTTAAAAAAATGCTGTGTTGTTAGATAAGTTATTTTATTCTCACTAAAAGCAAATATTTTGACATTTCATATAGTTTTATTATTCTACAGTGTTTTACATTTACATGGACACAATAAGAAGGACACACAGTCCCAAAGTATGACGGCACACTGCATGTGCAGATTTCCCTTACTGAATTATGATTGCCTAACATTCACCAGAAGTTGCACAGCACAGAGCAGGATGACAAAACAACTTCCACTCTCTCAGTCCATCTGCCAGAACACTGTTAGTCCTCAGACTGAACGGTCTTCTGGCGGGTGATGATCTTGTAGGCCCGCTGTCTCAAACAGCTGTCTGTAGTCAGGCGCCGGGCAGTTTCTCTCAACTCTTCAAGACTGCTGGAGGAGGCACCGCGAGAGGAGGCAAATGATTGAGAGTGCTTCACTGCACACAGGTCAAGAGAAGGTAAAGTCAATTTATTTAGAGTAAATGTAACCAAAAATAAAAAGCCTTTTGGGCCACTCCACAAAATATGTGGCATTAGTGTCTATCATATTATATTTGTAAAAACAACGAAACAACAATGAATAGCTGATGCCAACTGTTACTTCATTTTAAACACATCAACAAAAATTAAATAACTTTATTGTAATAATAGTTTAATATTTAGTTTTCTTTCATTATAGTATAACTATATGCTTATGAAGGCTGCATTTGTTTGATAACAAATACAGTAAAACAGTATCTAATAGTATTTAAACAATAAATAAATAAAAATAAAAGTTATTTTAACTACAATAAATTGTTTTATTTTAATACATGCAAAAAAATAAGAAATCAGGAAGGGGGCCAACACTTTTTCACACCACTGTATATGATATATTTCTGTGTTGGTAAAGCTGTATTTTCAGCAGCCATTACTCCAATTTTCAGTGTTACATGATCTATCAGAAATCATTCTAATATGCTGATTCGTTGTGCAAGAAACATTTCTTATTATCAGTGTCGAAAGCAGTTGTGCTGCTTAATATTGTTGTGGAAATGATGGCATTTTCTTTGAATTCTTTGATGAATAGAAAGTTCAATAGAACAACATTTATTTGAAATAGAAATCTTCTAAAAAAAATGATAATAATGATAAGTCAAATTAATATCAGATTAAACTCCAAAACCATGATAAGTTTCTGAAGGCATAGCTTAACCCCCCAATATATATATATATATATATAGGATCCATGATCATTTCTTAAAATGTTAACAGGTTAATGGCAATTTATATATTTATAGAATGTTTACAATAAACAAACAAACAAGCAAACAAATAAATAAATAAATAAATAAACAAACTCCCAAAACAATCAACTATCACTACACAAAGTGCTGTTTCTGGTAATAGTAAAATGGTACATTCCTCAGAGCACCAGCATAAATGCACAGGTCAGCTGAATATGAAATTACCACTAATGGTACTATATAGGTTATAATTTCATCCTGCGTGCACCTACACGAACACTTACACCAGTGCTGTCTGGAGGCCCGTCTCTGGATACGGCAACTTTTGATGCGTCGAGCAGCAGCTTTATGCAGATACACTGCGTTCTTCATGATGGACGGTAACTTGGCCTCAATCTCCGCCGCACAGATACATTCCTCAAAGAACTCTGGAGGTACAATGCACAACATTAAGTTTGGATGCAATTTAGTAAACTTTAAGAAGCCACTGTATTTTGGTCAAGATATTTGAACATCATAAAATAATTTAGATAACTGGATTTAAAGGGCTTACAAAATTGAAAACTTTCTCACCAGTGCAAAAAGAGTGCTTATTGAAACCATAAAGCAAAAACATGCAGCTGCAGTCAGTGTGGTTGTGAAGCTGGTTCATTGTCTTATCAGTCAATGCTTAAACCCCCTTATTTGTAAGGATATTATTACAACATATTTTATGACGTGCATTCTGGGAGGCTTTTTAATGGCACTGAATTAGTTCCTAGGCATGCTGGGATGTTGGCTGCCTTTCCCTTAGCATTTGTTCCAATTAAGAAAATATAAATTAATAAATTAAAATGCTAATTTTGTAAAGTCAAGTGCATCCAAACCAGGTTTGCCAGCAGTGATGCAAATTAGTACTTAATTTCCTTTTCCCTGAGGACCAACTTGACGTGGAAAAACATAGTATTTAGTTTGCATTTATACGGTAATGTCCATTTATTTTAGGCATACAGTGTTGAATACTTCTTAGGTTTGCCTGAGAATGAAATGCAACATTAAAGGGATAGTTCACCCAAAAATGAAATTCATGTCATAATTTAACTCACCTTCAAGTTGTTGGTTTCAAACCTGTTTCTTTCTTCTGCTGAACACAAAAGAAGATATTTGGTTCCCAAACTGTTGCTGGTAGCCATTCACTTTTTTCATACTATGGAAGTCCATGGCTACCACCAACTATTTGGTTCCCAACATTCTTCAAAGTATATACAGTATCTTATTTTATGTTCAGCAGAAGAAAGAAACTTAGACAGGTTTGGAACAACATGAGGGTAAGTAAATGATGAAAGGATTTTCATTTTTGGGCTAACTGTCCCTTTAAGTAACAATAAATGTTGTTAATTTAGCATTTTCAAAGTTAAAACAATTTTTTTTTTTTTTTTTAGACAAAGATTTTTTTTTAACGAAACCTGAAACTATGATCGACACACATACACACATTCAATCAACATACGGTAAACACAGAAACTATTTCTTCACAAAGCAAAAATTAAAACACCCCATTGATATGGATTTGTTTTTTTACGCTTTTATTACCTTTTTGGATGTTCTAAGTTTTGGTTACCTGGACAGAAACCTCTCAGGTTTCATTCAAAAATATAAATTTTTGGGTGAACCAACTCTTTAATATTAACATGATAGCAAAAATCCTCTTCTCAATAGTAGGACATGGCTAATGGAATGCACTTACTGCGGAGATGGCTGACGTCTCCTTTCATTCTTTCATCCCTCTCATGGGTGCGTTCTATTGCATTTAGACCCTGCTCTAGATCTTGCAGAGCCTCCTCAGCCAATTTCAGCCTAAGCTCCAGTTCCACACGAGACTCCATCTCTGCCTGTTACACACACACACACACACACACACACACACACGAGTGTGCGAGTGTGTGTGTGTGTGTGTG